AGTCGTGAAGACAGGAGAGCCGGGGTGGGCTCCTTTTGGTTTGAAAGATGGTATTATTGTGCACACTCCAGCTGGAGATGCTGTGACTGCCTGGAGGAGCATCCTGAAGCACACGTCACAGCAGGGACAGATCCGTGCGAGCCCCAACACTGACAACCTCTGCAGTCTGAGGAACTAGAAGGAAGCACTAACTTCTTGGAAAAACTGAGAATAATTTAGTGCAGATCAAATGAGTGCACTTTTTACCATTTTGCAAAATACCACAGGGCAAAGGCTCCATTTCTCCTTCTGCGTGGTTTGAGATTTCATCTTATTCCAACAAGAGGTGGCAGAAGAAAAAAAGAAAAAAAAACCCAAGTGACAAGACTTTACATTTAATTGACTAACAGCAATGTAGACCCCCGGGAGCAGGTAGCCATGAGCATCACCTGAGGACAGACCCACCTCATTGTAGTAAGGGCAATTGGTCGATTCCTTCATGGATGTGTATTTCTTTTCCTCTCCAACCTCCACGCAGACCACAGGGTCCATGTTAAGCCCAACCAGCTGCCGGGCCTCGATGATGGTGACGCTGACCTGGGGAGAGGGATTCATGCACCTTCACCTCCTGAGAGCAGCACCAGATGCCGCTCGCTGCGTTAACCCCTGTCTCCCCATCTCCCGTTTTTGAGGCATTTTCAGTGCAATGGTGGCAGCTCTGGGGTCTACTGGTCACACCAAAGACACTGGGCTGCTCGGACAAGCCTGAGCGAGCTGCCATGCGGTGTGGGATGCAGAAGACCCTGGGCATCCCTGTTGCTTCAGCCTCAGAGCAAGGGTGGCTTCACGCGAGGTGTGAAGTCCAATGGATTTAGCTAAGCTGTAGGAGCAGAGGCTCGGTTGGTGAGACCCCAGTTGGCTTCACTTGCTTCTGCTAGAAAACACAAAGGGTTGCAGTTGGACTAGGTGACTGCTCTAGGTCCCTTCCAACTGAAATATTCTATTCCGCTCTATTCTACTCTACTCTTCATTATTTCTGGAGTATTCCGCACCATTTCATGGTTCAACCCTTCTATATGCATGCGTACACACATGCCATTTTATTTAAGTACTCCTGTATGTGGTACAAGAAAAATAAACTACTTTCAATACAATATGAGCAATACGCTTGCATGTATTTATGACACAGAAGTTTATCATTCACAATTCAATCCACCACTAAATTAATATTAGGTATTTAGATCGTATCTAAATCCTTTTCTTGCAATATTAAATTTATATTAGGAATTCCTGCTTGGATTATACCTAAATTTCTTAATTTAACTAAAAAACATAAGGTGTGATTTCATGTAGGTACCAAATCTTTTCATTTCCCAGCAGCCATTTCTCTAGACTCATCTCTTTAAAATCTATCACAAGTTGGTGATAGGGCAGGTAACCTGCATGTTTCAAAGCATAGTGAGTTTGGGTATCATTTAAAATTAATATTTTAAAATAACATGAGCTCTCAGTCTTGGCTCCCTTGAAGCCCAACAGATGAGTTAATTTACACATGCCTTCTCTAGCTGTCATTAATTATTTTTGTAACCTGAACTCAGCTTTATCTTAAATCATATAATAATGGAAAATATAAATATATTAAAAATTAAACTCTTATCTTTGTGGGTAAACTTGGGGAAATTTAATTTTGGTAACATATTAAAAGGCTTGACTTTCAAACAGATTTCTTTAAAAGTAAAAAAAAAAAAAAAAAGGAAAAACCCACCAGCAGTTGCTGGGGTGCTGTGATAATTTCAGCTGAAATATTCCATTCTGTTCTAAAGTGCTCCTAAAAGGCAGCTGATAGAAGGTAGCTGAGCCCTCTGAGGAACGGGGCAAGGCTACCCAACATTTATCATAGAATCGTTTAGGTTGGAAAGACCTTTAAGATCATCCAGTCCAACCATTAACCCAACACTGCCAAGCCCACCACTAAACCAATTAAGGGTAGAGGAATAATTAATTTAATGTTTCCTGGCTCGGTGGCTGGATTATTTTTTAATGAAAGTAAAACTGGAAAAGAATCACTGAGGTTGGAAAGGCCCTCTAAGATCATCAGTCCAGCCATCAACCCAACACCCCCGTGCCTATTGCACAGACTCGGCCCAGAGGAGCTGAGGTGCAAAGGCAACCTCCGATCCCACACCCAGCGCTGCAGTGGCTCAGGGAACCCGGCTCAGGTTTGTTCCTCCTGTGCAGCATGGCGAGGTGCATGGAAACTTCCCAAATGCCTTTTGGGGAGGCTTGCAGCCAGGGTTATCTCTGCATCGAGACCTCCCCTCCACCCCTGCCCTGACCCACACCAGCTCCTGGAGAGGACTTTGCTGGGCACCATCCTTCATTAACCCTTTGTCCCTCCCTCCCATCCCCTCTGCTGCCACAGACCGAGGCAGTGTCTTGAGGTTTCCCAGGGATCACAGAATCATAGAATGCTTTGGGTTGGAAGGGACCTTTAGAGGTCATCTAGCCCAACCTCCCTGCCGTGAGAAGGGACAGCTTTAACTAGATCAGGTTGCTCAGAGCGCCATCCACCCTGACCTTGAATGGGTTGGGGCCTGGAAGATCAAGTCCTTTCCTCTTAATGCTCAGATGTTCCACAAAAGCCAGTTGTCAAAGGAAAGCAGACATATGGAGGTCAGCCAGGCACGTACCTTGTTCATGAACCAGCATAGCACTGCAAATCCTGTTATACTCCAGAAATTAGCCATTCCCCATTAACACCAACATTGCGATCCTCCTGTTTGCAGTGCCCAAATAACTGGACCTTGTGTCCCTTCTGCCTCTTGGTTGTAATTTGTTTTGCACCTTCCCCCTCCTCTTTATATTCTTTATGTTCCCCCCTCCTGAACCAAGCACACTCATTCCCTGTAAGCTTCACAATTTGGTCTGCAGCGGATGCTGCAAATGTTCTGCAATAAATCGCTAACAAAAATCATTATTTGCATTGTTCCGAGATACCCTCAGGAATGTGTTGCTGTGCTGAGAGGCAAGGACATAAAGCTAAATTGCTGCTGAATCAGCACGACTTGGTGAAAATGAGAAGAGCCAATCTATGAATCACGCTGGCACCAACTAGTAAAAGAAAAGGGAGCAGTGTGGATCAACTGAGCCTTGGGAAGCAAAACGTGTGGTTCTTCTAGGAATGCAGCACCGCTGAAGAGGACAACAGCAGCCATGTACCAACCTGAGGAAATCCAATGGGCAACCTACTGCCAGCCCGAGCTCACCAATCTTGAACACTAATCAGCAGACTGAAAGCTCTTGGGGAGTAAGAGAAATGTATTGGAGACAGCCTGTTTCAATCACGGTTGATTTGGGCTTCCTAGACTTCATATGATGGAGAGCAAAACCTGTAACTTAATTTCGAGCTTATCACTCAACCATTTAAATGCCAGCTCTTGGGAAGTCATGGTTTGTGAGTGCAGCGCGTTGAACTTGTCCCCTGCAAACCGGTCCCCCCAACCCCCGGGTTGTGACCCCTGTGAGATGAAGTTGGGGGCACAACATTGTCACCTACCTGGTAATCCATTGGCCTCCCAGCACTCGGCTCCATTTTGATGTCAGGCTTGGACCTTTGGAGGGGCAGAAGAAACCCTCAGTCAAACCACAGATGGACTTGCTGCAAGCTGTGACAGTGCACTTGCAGGGTCACCCCTCAAAGCTCCTGCCCTCTTTGAGGAGTTTAAACCCCGGGGGGTGTGAAACACCACTGAACATTGGTGCTCTTTGTAGCAGGTCAGCTATTTCCAAAAAAACACCGGCTGCATGGGGCAGTGTGATTTCCAACATACCCCATCTCAGGGGACACGTGGTTGTGGGGTGGCTGCCAGCGTGCCCTCACCTCCTGGCTTGCACAAGCTCACATCTGGCCCTCACCTCTTATTCGAGACATTGGTGGTGACAGCTGTGACGGAGGCCAAGGAGATGGTATCTGGCTCCAGTCTACACCCCTGTCTCATGGCTTTTCGGTCCAGGTCTTCTGCCTCCAAAACAGCGGGTTCATCTGCATAAAGGAGACAAAAGAACGTCTCTTATTCTTTCCACTCGGTGAATAATTAAAGGTGAAGAGAAAGGTAATCAATACATCCTATCAACCTCACCTGATAATACAAAGAACAATAGTCACCAGGTCAGGTCACAGACAACCTGGTCTAAAAAGGGATTAAAAAAAGACATATTGCCTCCTGTGACACGTTATTCCACCTGGGCAGTGTGCCTGTATATGGTTTTGTGAAGGCAAAAAGAAAATAGAAAATGACAAACACCCCAGACTTCAAGGGGTGAAAGAGCATTTGAGCAAGTGTTGCAGCTCTAACTACCAGAAGAGCAGTTGCAAAGACAAACAACTGTCTAGCTTTGGGGTAGAGAGGTCTGAAAAAACAGGAGAAAGGGATCATTTCCCAAGAAGAAAAATTGCTGCAGGGAGAGTCAAGACCCCAGATCCTGCCAGCACTGAGACACAGCTGTGCTGTCCACCGGTCTGCGTTTCTGTTGGAAGAAGTTGCTGAGATACTCCTTTCCTGTGCACAATCCATGTGCATGCCCTGCCTGCCCCTCTTGCCTTTCTGGTCAAGAAATGACCACAAAGCAGCGATGATTTTTTTTTCTGTTGGGCCAAACCCACCAGTATAGCTGTTGGGTCACTGGTTTGCTTTGACGGCACAGTTACACGAATCCACTCGTACAGCACAGACACTGCTCCTGGGAAACGGGTTCCCTGCCTCTTTACTAACCTAGGTAAGCTTGTAGCTTGCTCCAGGAGACCAGAGATTGGGTTTTTCACCATAGTCTGGCCTGTTTTTGTGAGATGGTTTAGTCTAGTCTACTCTTGATTGGCTTAGAGTAGACTTGGTAGTGTAGGTTAATGGTTGGACTGGATGATCTTAAAGGTCTTTTCCAACCTAAACAATTCTATGATTCTATGATAACATGGGCTCCAGCTGAAGCGAGGGAGATGTAGTCTGGGTGTTAGGAAAAGCTCTCCATCAGGGTGGAGAGAGACACGCTGCTGCAGGTTGGGTGGGGAAAGGGTGTCCTCAAGTCAACTGGGAGTTTTTGAGATTGAGTCAGAGTCACACCAGCCAGAAAGGACCTAAGCAGGTTCGACCCTGCCACATGTGGGTGGACGGACAGACTCGCCGCCTCCCAGCTTGGTTTTCGGTGATTCTGTTTGACCTGAGCAGGACCAGCAGCCTGCATGGGAGGAAAGCAGACCATGGCACAAGAGGGATGCTGGCTTGGCCAACAGGCAAAGAGTGCAACACCCACCCCGTCCCGTCACCAGCTGGCCAGACCAAGGGTAGGAATCACAACTGAGACAGCGCTGAGGCGGAGAGAGGAGGGTGGTGTTAAGAGAGCAGAGCCCCGGTGAGGTGTGTGAAAGCCAGAGGTACCTCGGGAAGGTGGAATAAGGAGACCCATGGCTGTGCAGCACTGACCACACTATGCAATATAGCAGCTGCGTTGCAACCATTCCCTGACCACGGGTAAATCACCATCTGTGAAGGCACTCTACTATCTGCTAGCACATCCTGCTCCCGCCTTTGCATCCCAGCTGCTTTCCCCATGGTCTTGCGTGAAGCTTTAACCACGAGATGAACGCCCAGGCACTGGGTAGAGAGGGAGGCTGCCCAGGTTTCAATGCCATGCCTTCCCACAGGCTGCCAATGCCTCTACCTACACTGGTGTCCCAGGCCAAATTCCCCTTTCCCTATCCTCAAACCTGGCTGAAAAACAGTGGAGGTTTGCCCAGAAACATTACCTAAAGCAGTGCTTTGTCCTTGCCCGCAAACACGCATCCCCCCATTTCTTTGCCATTGAAACGCAATCCTTCAGTCTGAATGGAAACAACAACAAATTTCCGATCGCTGACCCTCTCGTGCATTTCCAGAAAGGCGTCCGATTTCAGCACCGCCGCGGAGCCAAGCTGGGGGACAGGCAGCCCCACAGCAGCCGAGCCCTTCCTCTCACTGTGCTGCTGCTGCTGCACCATCCACCCAGCAAGGTGCAAGGGCTAAATCCTGCTTTGCATTGTTGCCTTTGCAAATCATCCCTAAAAATAAGCTGGAAGCCGCCTGCATGATTCCCAGGTTTTGCCACCTGCGCACAAGGTGGGTGATATCTGGCCAAGCCTTCAGCGCGAGCCTCTCTCCATCAGTTCCTACTTCCCATTTCCCCATGGAGCTCCTCTCTCCAGCTCTCCTCCCGAGCACCCAATGCTCCCTGTCCGATCCCTGAGTTACTGACGGGCTGTGCCTGACGTGAGCCACTCTGGGCACAGACCTTTTAGCAGGGCCCATAGTGATAGGACAAGGGGGAATGGATTTAAACTGAAAGAGATTTGGACTAGAGAGAAGGAAGAAGTTCTTTACGCTGAGGGTGGTGAGGCACTGGCACAGGTTGCCCAGAGCGGTGGGAGATGCCCCAACCCTGGAAACATCCCAGGCCAGGTTGGACGGGGCTCTGAGCACCCTGCTCTGGTTGAAGCTGTCCCTGCTCACTGCAGGGGGTTGGGCTGGGTGGCCTCTAAAGGTCCCTTCCCACCCAAACCATTCTGTGATTCTATGGGGTCTCTCAGGTGCTTTCCTGGGATGTGCAGGATAGCCAAAAAGCAGCACTGGAGCAGGGAACAACGTCCTCCCAGGAACAACATACCTTGTTTCCGATGGTCATCCTTTGATGGACGCGTCTTGCCAAGCTTCATGGCTGAAAAAACTCCTTTGCCGGCTCTGGAAGAAGAGAGGGAGAAAAAAAAACCCCAGCCATCAGTTACTGTATTTATAGTGTTGTTTTCTGGGACTTGGGGATGGGAACAGGAGCTTTTCACAGCTCAAAAGCAAGAGAGGAAATATCAGCTGAAAGACTAAGCAGGGGCTGCTGCAAACATGCCACGGGGCAGATCAAGATCACAGCTAAACGCACTGCCTTTGAGTCTTGGGTCTCGTTTTTTTTTTTTCCTCAGGGAATGCCTCAACTTGGGATAAAACACAAGACTGGAGCACAGCGT